CCCAGCGGCTCTCGGTGATTCCCCCCCCCGCGTCCCGGCGGCTCCCGGCCCCGCTGCTGAGCCTTGGATCAGGCGGGGGGAGCCCAAGAGAGCCGAGAGCCTCACGGGGGGATTTAAGGGGAAAAAAATTTAAAAAATATATCCTTTAATTTGCTTTTCGGCAGAAAGTGGGGGTAATTCAGTTACTTCTCTTCGCAGGGATCGATTTTAAAATCAGGACCATCGAGCTGGATGGGAAGAGAATCAAGCTGCAGATCTGGTGAGGGGCCCGCTGCTGAGCCTTGGATCAGGTGGGGGGAGCCCGAGAGAGCCGAGAGCCTCGCAGGGGGATTTAAGGGAAAAAAAACTTAAAAAAACCCTTTAATTTGTTTTTCGGCAGAAAGTGGGGGTAATTCAGTTACTTCTCTTCGCAGGGATCGATTTTAAAATCAGGACCATCGAGCTGGATGGGAAGAGAATCAAGCTGCAGATCTGGTGAGGGGTCTCTGCTGGGGCCGGTGTCCGGGTGTCTGTGGGGTGGGGGGAGCCCTCAGCCCCTTCCTGCGGGTGCAGCCCCCAGTGCCTCGCCCTGTCTCAGGGGGCTTTGGTGTGTCTGAAGGAGGGCTCAGTGATGTTTAACCAGAGCTCTTGGTGTCTGTGGCCGCAGCGCGATGGTGGGGCTTTGGCTGAGCCCCGTGTTCTCTCTGTTCCAGGGACACCGCGGGGCAGGAGCGATTCCGGACCATCACAACCGCCTACTACAGGGGAGCCATGGTAGGAGCCAGAGGGGTGACGCTACACCGAGTCTTTTTGGGGGTTCAGCTGGGTCCCACTGGCTGGGTTTAACGTGGGACGTGCAGGAGTGTGTCTCCTCCAGGTGTAACCTCAGAGCTGGGACCACCAGGGAGCTCTGGGGAGAGGTGTGTGTCCCCCCAATTCGGGCTGTAAATACACCTTGTTATCTGGCAAAGCACAAGCAGCGGTTACATGTTGTGTAGAACTGGAAACAAACCACTTTACAAACAGTCTGTGATGAGTTGCTCCTTTCTGCTACAAAGTCTTTAACTCTTACTTAAAGTGACTGAAACAATCGCTCTCCTTCTCGTTCTTTAGGGCATCATGTTAGTCTATGACATCACGCTTAAAGCAACTGAAACAATCGCTCTCGTTCTTTAGGGCATCATGTTAGTCTATGACATCACCAACGAAAAGTCTTTTGAAAACATTCGGAACTGGGTCCGGAATATTGAAGAGGTAATTTCTCTATTTACTTACTCTCTATTGAAGGTGCTGTTTCTTCCTCTGAAAGCAGTTGAAACGTAATCGCTTCAGAAGCGTTAAGTTCCTTTTGAATTCACGTGCTGGAGGAAAGCTGGTTGAGCAAAAACCAGTAACGCCCTCTGGAACGTGCTGGTTCCCAGTGGTCGGCTGTGCTGGCACACGGGGAGCACTGGGTGTGGGGACCACAGCCCCCCGGTGAGGAGGGGACCTGGGGGTCTGTGTTTTGCTGCCAGGATGGGTCCTCTGAGGGGCAGGGGGCTGGGGAGCCCCTAATTTGGGGGAGGATGCTCAGCACCAGCGTCTCCGTGTGAGGAACTTGCTGGTTTTGCCTCCTCTTCTCAACAACATTTGTCTAAAAGCACCCAAGGTGAAGTGCTGGCTCTGATGTGTTTGTGTCTCAGCACGCCTCTCCAGACGTGGAAAAAATGATCCTTGGGAACAAATGCGACGCAAACGACAAAAGACAAGTTTCCAGAGAGCAAGGGGAGAAGGTGAGTGCCAAAGCTTTCATGTGTTTAAACTTTTCAGGGTATAGAACTCGCCCTCGTCACTGTCTCTGCTCTGCCCCCGGGGGTGTTTCTGAGCAGAACTATTGAGCGTCTCCCGAGCTGTAGTTCCGTTCGTTTCCCTATTCTGATAAAAAGATGAGTCTGAGTTAAGACTTGGGAATTGTCTGCTCGGGGTGTGCTGGGTCCAAAGCAACAAGTTGGATTTTTTCCCTAGAAAAAGGAAGAACCCCAGGGCAGGGGGTTGGAACTCGATGATCTTTAAGGTCCCTTCCAACTCTAACCATTCTATGATTCTGTAAGAAAAAGTCTTCTAGAGTTTCACACTTGGGAAATGTGTCTTTTTTGGTCAAAAGCCACTGAGAGAAGTAAGAAAAAGTGTTCTAGAGTTTCACACTTGGGAAATGTCTCTTTTTTGGTCAAAAGCCACTGAGAGAAGTGAGACAGGATTGTATTTTCTGGGGGTGGCTGTAGGTGAAGTTAGGGGTCCCCACGCTGCGGATGTGACAAGACTGACAAGGTGTCTGTGTGAGGGACAAACAAACAGCAAAGAGCAGGGTCAGGTGTCTGCAGGGTGTAGAGGAGCAGCACGAAGCCCGTCAGGAGGAGATGCTGAGAGCAAGGAGATCTAGTTGTTAATTTTTGCTAATTGTTCTGCCCGAGTAACTCCCCGCGCTGCTGCGACCCGCGGCGGACGCAGACCCTGCGCGGTTGGTTGCATTCAGAGCCGTTCCTGCAATTACCCAACTAACACACAACCTGCTTTTATTCAGCTTGCTGCAAGTTTTGGGATTAAATTTATGGAGACCAGCGCGAAAGCAAATATAAACATAGAGAACGTAAGTACTGCCACCTTTCTCCTGCATTTATTCTCCAATTTGTGCAAAAAAAGCACTATCCCACTGGCTGAACTCAGGACGTGCCCCATCGTGGGCAGCGGGTGCTGCTGGGGGGGCTGGGGCTCCACAAGGAGGTGGCAGAGTTGGAAAAGGAGCATTAAAACTGGAGGGAGGAGAAAAACCTGAAAACTTGACATTTTCAAGAGTTCTGTTTATGTCAAAACTTGGGAAAGCAGCTTATTGCTAAACAAAGATACTAGAATGTATTTCATTGACCACGTAACACTGAGCTGTTCTATTTGTCGCAGGCGTTTTTCACTCTCGCGAGAGATATCAAAGCAAAAATGGACAAGAAGTTGGTGAGTAACCTTTACTGGGTCCATACTGTATTAAAAGAGGGAAAAAAAACCTCAACCCGAAGCCAAACAGCATGTAGTGACTCGTGTGTAAAAAGCACTTCGTGGCCTTTTTCATGGAGGTTGCACTGAAGGTTATAGACGTTTATTTTTAGTTTTATCAAGCCACACTCTGACCTTGGCTTAGAAACAATTGTCTCTGCCTTTCAGGAATTGGCTGAGATGGTTGAGGTTTCCTAAATAAAAGTATCTTCTATTTGTTTTATTGAAAGTCAGGCGAGTGGTGGAGCAGTTTAATGATATTTCTCACTCTTGCAGTCTGAAAAATGGGATATTATAAATAAGGTGTTCCAGAGGCCCACTGATTACTTCAGGGGAGTGCTCAAACTAGTGTGGTTAACAATAGGTAAAGAGCTAATTGTTTTGATTATTTCACCAAAAGCATCCTGAGAAATGATTGGGTTTTGTGTTGTGTGACAAATAAACATCCACGGATGTCATTTTGTCCCCTGTGAAATGAAACTAACGAGGATTCCTCCTGCATTCACTGAACATCCCACCTTCACGTGACCCCACGTGAGCTGATAGAGCTGGGATATTTTGGGTCTTGCTGACAATTCCTGTTCCAGCAAGAGCCAAACGTCCTGTAACTTAGTTATTTTTTTAAATCTCAGCTGTCTCTGAGTTTATAGAAGGAAGAAGAACAGGCACAGTGCAAGTATAAATAAGTAACTGAATATTCTTTGTGTCTTCAGGAAGGCAATAGCCCGCAAGGCAGCAACCAGGGAGTCAAAATCACACCAGACCAGCAAAAGAAAAGCAGCTTTTTCCGATGTGTTCTTCTGTGAGGGACACGGCCTTAAACCTGAGCAGCTGCTCAGCCGGACTGGACTGTGCCTGTTGTGAGTGAGAGTTCCTCTGTCTGTGGACTTAGCATTTCCAACATACCTTGTCACTTTGTGACCATCTGAATAAGAAATCGTTTATTTTAGTAATTGTCTGACTCTTCAATTTTTGGAGATGAAACAAGTTTATTTTTGTCGGATTGCCACTGGGCACGTGTGTTGTCTAGCAGAGGGAGTACAGATCAGACATGACCTGTGACACGGCACCTTTGCTGACAGGCTTCCATCTTTTTTTTTTGTTGGTATCTGTAACGTATCCCGATTTAGAAAGATTAAGTTATGATCAAAATGAGAAACTGAAATGCCAATGTTAATAAAGTCCAGGTCTGTGTACGTGAGACATGTGCGTATCCATAGACGCAGAGAGATCAGTTGCATCTGAACATCCCATAATCCTGGGTGAGCAGTAACAGGCTCGTACCTTCCAGAAGGTAGAAGGAACCTTCCTGCATCTCCACCTCTTTGCTACTACAGAGAAACCCCTTTATCTGCCTCTTCCTTACTCACTTGTGTTATTCCAGACAATCCACGAGTATGATTGAAGTTTTAAAAAAAAAAAGAAAATCCTCCTCAAAGGAATCTCTATTTTTTTAAGAAACCAAAGTGTGCTGTAAATAGAACGGATCCTTACCATCAGGAATGACTTTATCCGTGTTAGACTTGAACGTGCTCAATGAAGTGCTCCAGGTGTTCAGACACGTTGAACGGGAGACGACGGCTGCGGTGAGTCCCAGGGGAAGGATCTGTGCTCTCTCCGTGGAGAAGCAGAGCCTGGCTGGGGCAGGGACACTCTTCTCAGCATCTCTAACGTTTCCATGGGCGGCTTTTCCTTCCTTCTCCAGCTGAGAAATGCCTCCAGCTCTGTCATGACCTAGTAGCTAGTTTTAAAATGGTGACAAGAAAACGTCTTGCACTGCTTCCAGTTGTGTGTTCTCACGCACACTCGCTCACGTATGCAAATAAACGTTGCACATACGAACACTTTCTGAAAGCAAACCCTTTTTGAGCTGAGTTTTGCTTTGCTGCTGGGTGTCGGTGGCTTCGGAGTCCAAGCAGCAGCAAACCTGTTAATGGCCGGCATCGATGCAAAGACCTCGAGTCCTCGGGGGGAAATATTCCATTATTTATTCCTAGAAACCCAGTCTATGACATTCCGATGTATAAAATGTAACAGCCAGTGAAGTTCCCAGGTAGTTAATTACCCTCAGTTCCGAGGCTGTGAGCCTGATTCTTAATTAGACTGACAAAAGGAGCCAGTAAGAGCCGTCTGCTTCAGAGCCTGCTGTGGAGTGGTTGGAATTCTGGTGTATTGAATTCGAGTGAACGGATCAGCTGTGTCCTGCAACTCACTGGAATTGTTAACATGCTTTTGTTTACATTGACAACTGCACTTAAGGGTAAAATTAAAGCTGATTTTAAAGTTAAATGCATTTACTCACCAGTTTTTGTTTTCTTCAAGTTTGTTCTATTGTATTCTGGCCTCAAAGTAGCACTCGTAAGCATCACTGTAGTTAAAACTCTGACAGATTCATAATTAAACTTTAGAAATCTGCAGTGTGCAATTGGGTTCAACAGGAATTTTGCCTGTTTTGCTGAAGTAGAAAAAAGAAATTTTACTGTATAAGTTACTGGTTTATAAAAATGCATTTTACATGCTACCAACTCTCTTTTGTTTTTAACTAGCTAATGCATTTCAGTGAGCTCTGTTCGTGATTAAAATCATACGGAAAGCTTTCCTCTAACCAGAACCTTATGATGGGGATTTTTGTTGTTTACTTGTGGGTTTTTTTAGCGTGGGGGTTTGGTGAACACGCACCGTAGTGGATTCCACAGGGATGTATCTGTAGGATAAAATGATGTTAAGCTCCTGAAGAGCCCTCTCGTCTCTGTGTGCTCTGTCAGTGCGCGCTTTGAAGCGGAGTTAGGGCAGAGCTGTAGATGGGACAAGCAATGCTCTGGCTGAGAAATGGATGCTTTTAAAGAAAGGCTTTGTGTGTGCTTCAGGAAATTAGTGAGGCAGAACCAGGGAGGTGATTACAGCACGGTCTGAAGGTTGTTTTCGTAACAAACCAGGGCTGTTTAATGGTTTGTTTCAGGCTGAGGAGTAAACATGGACTGTGGCGCATCCATCCTCCTACTTTAAGGGAGCTGGATGTTACAGCCAGGCTTATTTTTCAAAGTGACAGGAAAAATAAGTGGTTACATGAACTTGGTGTCGCGGGCTGTCACCACAACGGTGGCTGGTGCCTGTTGGCAGTATGTAAATCGATAACTCATCTTGAGATGAGAAAGAAAAAACATATTAATCTAGGAGGGATTAAAACTTGAAGGATGGAGATGTGCATTTCACTCCCTGTTTTCTAAATCTCAAGTTAACTCTTTTTGCATTCAAAGCTAACTCTTTGTATGCAAATACCTTTTGTTTAAACTTATGCTGGTTGTTGCACGTGTTTATATCCCTAATTTATAGCACGATTTCTTCTTATAAAATGATTGGGTTTGCTCCATGACCAACTGATTACATTATTGCCCCATCTCAGGAAGTTTCATGCAGTTACTGTGACTACAGTCGTTACTGTGACTACAGTCATCACTGTCCTTCCAGGGTGTACAGAACTCTACACAGAAATTAAAGCCCTGTGAGAAATATGAAACCTAAAATGCAAGTGTGAGACGGGGAAAGGTTAAAGATGCTGCAGTTGGTGTGTGCTTGTCGCTACGTACAGACATCAGGTCTTGGATAAGTACAACATGGAATTGATGTTTCCATCACACAATTAAATTACTGTGGGTTTTAAGTATGAATGTTAGGGAAAACACAATGAGCGAAAGAGGTGCTGCCTAAATCCATACAGTAATGTATTTCTATGTCAGCTTTCTTTAACTAAGGAGTTAAAAAGCTGAAATTGGATATAAGGTTTGTAAAACTGAGGAATTTAAGTAGATATGAAAAGCTAACAATGTCTCACTACACATTCTCAGTGTCTAAATGCCACTAAAATTTCAGGTAATCAATTACCACTTGATTTGTAGAGAAACAAACCCTTTTTTGAGCCTGTTCTCAAGATCTCTTACTTTATTGAGTATCACAGAATTCTGTGGTTGACCTTATTTTTGAGGCTGGCTGCAGTATTTCAGGCAGTCTTCGCCCTTTCAGGTGCAGAGGTGTCGGTAGCTCGTCTGTCAGTAAGAGGTGGAACTGCTGAGGTAACACTTTGGGATTTAACACCCCCCGGGGTCCAGGTCCTGTGCTGATGGGCACATCCAGCCTTCCTTGACATCAGAGCCTTACGCCAGCATCAGACTTTCAGCCTCAGGTTTATAAATCCTATGGATTAATTGTGAGTCTCTTTACTGCTGCTGAGAATTATTTGGTCTCTCCTTTCACGTGAGATGCCGATCGTCTCACTGACAATTGTTAAAGGGGTTTATTTTGGGGGTGGTGGCATCTTCAGCTGATGATTGTGCTCAAAAGCTGCCGTGGTTTCTTGTTCTCTTGGACTTGAACTGGCTGGTGTTTGTGCTGGGGGGGAAAGGGACAGACAGCTGCCTAGAGGATGAGCTCCCTTTGTGCTAGAAGTTTGTAGGGTTTGGGAAATGACTGACTTCTGTCTTCATTTATAGATTAAATAAAGATCTGTTCGATTGAACGTTGATGGTAACGTGCAGTCTGATTGTTTCAGGCTGCCTTATTCTTGGACCCAGCTCTTTCATGGATGATTGGAGTTTTTCTTTCTGTAGGGAATTAGAGTCTGGTCTCCCTGGCCTCGCTGCAGGAACCCTGTGCTCTACGTTGAGCGTGAGTTGGGACTTAAGACTTTGTTTTGAGGGGAACTTAATGCATCCCAATATTTTTAAAAAATAACTGTAAATTGTGTTTTTAGACCACTTTTGGCTGCCACCCTTCCCACGTTACAACTGCTTTCTTAAACACTTCTCATTGATTTTCATGTTTGTATCAAAACCAGAACTGTTGTTTATTACAGTACCTATGTTTTTACTCTGTTGTACAGGACCCTGAGCACTGCATAAATAAACTTCTTATGAAAAGAGAATTTTACAAACTTAGTTTGTCGGTCTTGTTCATCATTCGGGTGTATGGATTATTGTGTGGAAAACAGGGTAATTCTAAAAATAGAAAAGAGGGACAGGAACTCGGGGTAGGCTCTTTTGGCCTTTAGAGTGTGTTGAGTTTTCCTTATAAATTCTGAAATGGAGAGCTCTTCTCTGTGTTCTTCTCAGGACCTGTAATGGGCTTCTGTGACACAGCAGGAGAACCCCTCAGCAGGTTGATTCACTGGGCAATTGTTAAGACAAAGCTGATCAAAAGAGTTGCTTACGCAATTTTGATTAACCATAGTCTTTTATAAACTATTTTCAAGGGGATTTTACTGAATAAGGCATCTTCTTAGGAATTTTTTTAGAAGTTAAAATTTGATTCAAGTTCCTTTACTGCCTGGTGGTGTCTGAGCTTTTTAAAAACCAGTATTTCCCATCTCACTCTCTAGGTCAGATTTGCCCTATCTGTGGGGAAAAAGGCATTTTGTTGAATTACAGGGAAATCTTGATGAAGAGCTTAAGGAATTATTCCTTTTCAAGGGGTAAACAAGAGATGGAGATCTCTGACTGGTTCAGTTATCAGAAATTGTCCTCTTTGGTCTTCTCACTTTGCTCCCTCATGGACAGGAATCTCAGATGAAGTAACAGTTGTTGAAGGTTCAAGAAGCGCATCCTTCTACACGTTCCACTAGATTCAGATTCGAATGTGAAATGTGCTGTTAAAAAGAGGAAGTCATGATCATTTATATATCCCTCTTCAAAGGGATTCACTACAGTTAATCCTAGGACTGTTCAGTAAACTGGAAACTTTATTTTGCAAAGCACCTGCAAATAATAGGTACATTAAATGCAAGATTTGTGTGCTGCTTCGTGTAAGACACCAGAAACCGTATTAAGACCGTGTTACACGTTGAGTGAGCTCATCTCATCTACTTGTCAGTGGAGCCTAAGTGCTAATATTAACTTTTTAAATTAGAGGATTGTTGTGTCATGTAAAAAGCACTTTGGAGGTTCAAAAAGCAAGTCCAGAAGCCTCCATGCTTTTTCAAGCATCTGTTTTCCCAGTCTTTGCAGAAACTGTCAGGGACGAGTGATGATCTGGAATGGCTGAGGAGACATAAAACACACACTCCCGAGGCTTCTGACAAAAGAACTAAGAGCAATTTTGTGTTAGAAATTAAAAGCAAATATTACCTGAGGAAATCTGGAGCCCGTATTATCATGTGCTGAAAGTCTTCCAAAGACAGCTTGCCATCGTTGTCCACATCAGCTTCGTAAATCACCTTCTCACACACAAGGTTAACTTCTTCTGGGGTAAGTTCATTTCGGGTTAATTTGTTCACAGTTTTCTCTAGATCTGATTTGCATATGTAATCATCATTGTTAAAATCTGTCAAAGGAAACAAAATGAATTCAAGGTGACAAAAGTCAGCATTTTACATGGTTGACTGCCAAGACCTAATTAATAGGAAGGGTTTGGTTCCCAGACCATGAGGTATTTGTATAAGTAGAATTTACTTTCAAATCATAAGTAAAGTCTTGTAGTTATCTGTGTTTGTTTGCATAAAAATTCAGTAATAAAATAAAAATCCTGGAATAATTTCGTATCTTCCCTAAGGGTAACAATTGTAAATAGCTAAAAGGCTAAACTTAGTTGAGCTATAATTAAATCATTCCAGCAAATCAGTACTACTGACCTAAATAGTATGACATTAAAGGAAGAGAAGGGCTCTTCAGTTTTGGTGAGAGTTCACTTTTTTTAACATCTTTGCTGAATCATGTAAAGTTTAAATCACAAAAAAAAAAAAAAAGCTGGTTTGTTTGTTTGATACACTGCTTGGCTTTAAAGTAACTGAAAATGGTACTGTAAAAATAAATCTTCATATTTGTCCTTGGAGAAAAAATGCTGGAAGTGTGCTCCCCTGCCTCCCACCTCCCCCTGCCAGAACCACCCTGCAGATTTATGGGCACCCAAATCCCTTGTGCTGCGTTTTTCCAAGCAGCCCCTCAGACAGAAGTATTTCTTAAATGTTTATCAGCTCTTGAAAACTGCAGATAATTTCAGATTGTAAATTTTGTAGTAAACCCTAATCCTAAATAAGTACGAGCAGGGTAGAGACAAAAGGAGAAAGAAGACCAGAAATTTCTAGAAGAACTGCCATTCAAATGCAATGAAGAGAAAGAGAAATATACCTTACTAGAAATCATTATGGTGGCAAAATAAGTATTTTGCATCTCTGCATGTAGCTGCAGGATTTCCCCAAAGTTTACTTTTTATTCATGTCTCACTCACCATAAATTTTAAAAGCATAATAAGCTTTCAGGTCTCTGGGAGCCATTTCGCTCAGCACCGAAAACATGTCCAAAAAATCATCTAAAGTCATATTGCCATCTCCAGCCTCTGAGAAAACCTCCGCTATCCGCTGCCGGAATGGGTTGTCCTGGGAAGCAGAAGACAAGAGCAAGGGAAGGTCATCTTTACTTTGCTTTTACTTCAGTGCAGATAAGACATACTTGGAGCGAGATTATTTCTGTTGTAACCCCTTTTTTGGCAAATACTCCCTTTTCTGTGATTACGTTCTTGTCTAATGCTGTATCCGAGTTAGACACAGCTACGGGATTCTTTAACCTTTGTGCAACTTCAGGGGGTTTTCAGGGAATCGCTAGAAGCTTCCAGAAAGACTTCTGGACTTCAATAGCCAAAAATTTATTTGTGTTTCAGCCTCCCGACAATCGGGACTGGAAGAATTATTAAAAAAAAAAAAAAAAAAAGAGGAAATTAAACAGAAATGTGTCACTGGATTCCTCACTCTCTACCTTCAGCTCTGGCATGCTGCCAATGAGTTCATAGGGAAGTGTCACGGCTGGTTTATCGGTGTAGTCGAGGGGAACCAGCTGCGGGGCCAGGTCTCGGTACCTGTAAAACAGTCTGAAAGAGAAAGAAAAGGCTTGTTTAGGGAACACCCAGAGCAACCCGTTTGCCTTTTCTGTATCGTTCTTCCCACTTTTCATCCTTTACCAGACAGATTATATCAGCCGCTAAATACTATTTAGTATCCTCTGTAGCTGGTGGTGGAAGAGGCAGTATTAAAGAGAACGACGTGGTGTAACTGGTAAAAAATAGAAAGCCTTCATGCCTACAGCACCATTAAGTGAAAAAATGCTTACACAGGTCAGGCAGCCAAACCCTGAGATACCCTGTATCCAAAACCAGATTTTTCACAAAGTTTCAGATTTACTTTTACATTTCCAGCAACAGTATTTGGGCACACAGTGTAGTTAGGATTTATGTGCTTATGATAACAAGGCACAAGACCTTCAACCTGAAGGACCAGCTAATCAGTTTCCAAGCACACAAAAAGTTGTTACAGGGCAAAAGGGGATCTTGTTTTCCACGTCCGCAATGAGTGGCACCAAAAATAATGGGCTTCAACTGGAGCATGAAAGATTCAGTTCAAATGTCAGCATAAAACCCTGAATGCCTAAGGGCATGGGCAGGAAGAGAGAGATCCGGGACCAACTCGACCTCGTTTTTATCCACCCCAAACATCTTCCTGTTTTTCCATAGAGCTCTGGCTCAAGAGACTGAAAATGTGCATAATAAATTGAATGTATTCACCGCTTTTTCAGCGCGCTGTTTGCTTCAGTTCTTGGGCTGGAGTAAGGATCCCGTTCACAGATGTTATCAACAAAACAATAGGACAGAATTTTAAAAGGGATCCTTATCAATAATAAATGTCTTATTCATGGCACAGTTATGGTTCTGGCCTCTGTTTACTACGTGGAAAGGCAGACAGATTCAGATTTCAATTATTACAGAACCATTCATATTTTATCCTGTATAGAATTCACACACAGATAGCAAGGTTCTAAAGAGGATCATGCTCTGTACAAAACTGTCACTTCTGCTCTGCCCTTCGGAGAAATTAGCAAAAAATGGGTGATGGTGTTTTGAGAGATGCAGAAACTGAGCAATTCCCTGTCTGTGAGTGTGTAAAGAAATTAGCAAAAAATGTGTGATGGTGTTTTGAGAGACATGGAAACTGAGCAATTCCCTGTCTGTGAGTGTGCCCGATGGTGAGGAAAGGCAAATGCAACTTCAATATTATGTAGGTTACTGTCTGGGTAAGTCTTTTTTATGAGAGGAGAACAAGTTGAGGTTTTCAGGGAAGGCTCTCAGCCCCCATGAACAGAATATTGAACCTGTCTTTATCAGAGCTTTTGGCCAGAGACTAAATGGAGTGTTTAATGAGATGCATGAAGGCTTTGGGAAAAATGCACCTTAGAGTACCGGGATAATTATTTACACAAAGACACAAAAACCCCCATTTGACACAAGCATTAAGGTTTTCATAAAACAGGCAAAGTATCCCAAAGAATAACACTACACTTTGAAGCATTTGTCATAAAAAAAGGTGAGGAAACACGGATGTCACTGGCAAAGTATGTACTAAAATATAACTTGTTACATTTATTTCTGATAAAGAGACTGATACCTTAATATAAAATTTCAGATTCTGGCTCAGTGGAGGCTAGATAGCATAGGGTTTTTACACCAAAAAAAGCAACAGAAATGCTCAGATGGCCCAAAGGTATCACTTTATATTTGTGTAAATCCATTTAAAAATTATTTTTAAAATACCTCACCCCATATGTAATCTGTCTTTATAGCAATTTCTGTCCTTTACCCACAAAATGCAAAATCAAGACTCACCTCAGAATTTCTTTCCTTGTAAAGAATGTGCAGTCCTATGAAACAAGAAAAGACAGAACATGTAATTACAGTTTTTAGCATGCACTGGCCAAAACTTTTCCCATACAGTGACTTAAATGAAGTTAGATTATAATCTAAGTGACCAAGCATTCAAGCTCTTTCTTTTTGGCGTATATTTAGGAGTATTTTATAACCCTTCTTCTTGGTGTAAGAATCAAACTATGTTACTAAAATCTTTGCTGTAATTTAGTACTCCTATTTAATAATTTAAAAAAAACAAAAACAAAAACAAAACCTTTGCCATTATTCAATGTTCTGCCCAAACAGGCATTTAGTTTGTTTTATACCTGGTATGCATCCAGTTGCTCCGGAGTGAAAATGGTTTGCTTGTTGCCCATTTCTAGCTCTGAATGCTTATTCTTGTCCTATCATTCTTTCTTCAAAGGCACCTTTATAGGAGGTCTGGCTATTTAGTTATTAAAAGCTGTAACAATGAGGTTCAGGTACAGCAGAGGATCAAGTAACCAGCTTCCCTATTCCACGGGCTGCAAAGTATCATATAAGAAAAGATAGAACATGTAATTACAGTTTTTAGCATGCACTGGCCAAAACTTTTCCCATACAGTGACTTAAATGAAGTTAGATTATAATCTAAGTGACCAAGCATTCAAGCTCTTTCTTTTTGGCGTATATTTAGGAGTATTTTATAACCCTTCTTCTTGGTGTAAGAATCAAACTATGTTACTAAAATCTTTGCTGTAATTTAGTACTCCTATTTAATAATTTAAAAAAAACAAAAACAAAAACAAAACCTTTGCCATTATTCAATGTTCTGCCCAAACAGGCATTTAGTTTGTTTTATACCTGGTATGCATCCAGTTGCTCCGGAGTGAAAATGGTTTGCTTGTTGCCCATTTCTAGCTCTGAATGCTTATTCTTGTCCTATCATTCTTTCTTCAAAGGCACCTTTATAGGAGGTCTGGCTATTTAGTTATTAAAAGCTGTAACAATGAGGTTCAGGTACAGCAGAGGATCAAGTAACCAGCTTGCCTATTCCACGGGCTGCAAAGTATCATAATAGGAGCATTTCATCAAATCTTTAGTCTGGCTACTTAAGGCTCTTATCCAGCATCACTCACCTGTCTCCTGTGTGCACAACAAGGACTCATGTTACAGCATTTAGCCAAACGACTAATTGCTGCTCGTTTGTGTCTTTGAGGGAGCAGATAGACTTCATGTATCGCTCTTTTTCATTCCAAATTAACTGAAAAGTATTAGTAATGTCTGCCTTCTTTAAGAATGAACACCAAATGCCAGAAATTAGTAACAGTGATGGTGACCCCTTGTCCTTTCCTACCCATTTTCCCTGTAATACACACTGTACACTAATGCTAATGGTAGTTTGTACTGGAGATAGTATGTATAAAGTTCGCTCACTCTATTCTGCTTTATCTGCTAATACACATTACCACGAGTTAACAATTATTAGCACGATATGATACATACAGTGATACATTCACTCTTTTTCATTCCTTCAGATATGTATGGTAAATTAACTGAAAAGTGTTAGTAATGTCTGCCTTCTTTAAGAATGAACACCAAATGCCAGAAATTAGTAACAGTGATGGTGACCCCTTGTCCTTTCCTACCCATTTTCCCTGTAATACACACTGTACACTAATGCTAATGGTAGTTTGTACTGGAGATAGTATGTATAAAGTTCGCTCACTCTATTCTGCTTTATCTGCTAATACACATTACCACGAGTTAACAATTATTAGCACGATATGATACATACAGTGATACATTTAAAATTGAAAACATGTGTGTATATAGTTCATACATGTGAAGAGAAATGTGATGTTGAAAACATAACATTGAAAACGTGTGTATATAGTTCGTACATGTGAAGAGAAATGTGATGTTGAAAACAAGGGTAGGAGGTGGTCCTGGCTGCACAACTGGAGCATGTGGCAGGCTGCCTTATTGATTGATTAGGCTGCAAAACAGAGTCACAGGACCACAGAATGGTGGGGGTTGGAAGGGACCTTTGGAGACCATCTCCTCCAACCCCCTGCCAAAGCAGAGCAGGTCCCACAGGAATACATCCAGGAGGGTTTGGAATGTCTCCAGAGATGGAGACTCCACCACCTCCCTGGGCAGCCTCTTCCAGGGCTCTGCCACCCTCACAGGAAAGAAGTTTTTCCTCATGTTTAGGTGGAACTTCCCATGTTCCAGTTTGTGCCGGTTCCCTCGTGTCCTGTCCCTGGGCACCACTGAGAAGAGCCTGGCCCCATCCTCCCGACACCCACCCTTTAGATACTGATAACTATTGATGAAATCTCTCATTCTTCTCTTCTCCAGGCTAAACAGCCCCAGGTCTCTCAGCCTTTCCTCATGAGAGAGGTGCTTGTAATCCTTAATCATCTCCATTTCTTGGCCGTTCTTACCGTCCGGTTGGGTGGGCCCCTCTGTCTGGCGGAAAATCTCTTCCCCTCAGGGAAGAAACGCCAGCCTCACTCATCCCTGCGCCTTCAAATGATCAAAACTTATTCAGAATTGTTCATTTCAGCGTGGGCCAAGGCGTGTGGGGAGGGCTTGGGGCTGGTTTTTATTCCCGGGGCGGCCTCGCTCTCCGGAGGTTCCCCTCAGGGCGGCCCCGGCTGGTGGCGGTTTTCCCCTCAGAGCGGTCGCTGCGCCCCCGTCCGGCCGCCAGGGGGAGCCGCTGTGGCGGCGGCGGGGGTGGCGGCGCGATGGCGGACTACGAGGCGGTGCAGCGCGGGCCGCTGCGGCTGAAGGGCAGCGGCGGGGCCCTGAGCGCCGGGAAACGGTGAGGAGAAACCGGGGATGGGACACAAACACACACCGGGGAGGGAGGGAGGGCGGCCGGGGCCGGGAACTGACCGCCCTCTGCCCGCAGGAAGAAGAAAAAGGCGAAGGACAAGGCCCAGGTGATGGAGCAGATCGTCAGCAGCAAGAAGCAGGAGGAGGAGAAGAAACGCGGCCTGGACAAGAGGACCCCGGCGCAGGTGGCCTACGAGAAGATGCAGGAGAAGCGGGTAGGGCTGCCCGGCCCCCTCTGGGGGTTCGTGGGAGGGGGTTAAAAAACCCTAATGGACCCCTCCGGTGCGGCCGCTGAGGGGCTACGAGCCCTGAGGTAACCGGCCTCTCCTGTGTCTCCCTCCAGCAAATGGAGAGGATCCTGAAGAAAGCCTCAAAAACCCACAAGCAGCGGGTGGAGGTAAGATAAATCATCCCGATTTCCTCAAGTGTGTCTGGCTGGAGGAAGCGTTTCCCCTCTTTGAAACACAGGAGGGGGGGGGGGGAGGCAGGGGGTCTTGACCGCATGGAATATTCAACGTTTTTTTCTTTCTCCTTCTCTCCCCCAGGACTTCAACCGGCACCTGGATACTCTGACGGAGCATTACGACATTCCCAAAGTCAGCTGGACGAAGTGAAGGGGCTGCTCGACGAGGCTGGGGACGGGGAGTTGTGTTTTGCCTGGACTTGAGCAGGGCGGCCGTGTAAATCTGCCTGTGTGTAATAGACCTTCTGAACGCTTAAGACTTTGTACTGGCTTACTTCATTCTTTGGTGGTTTTTTTTTTGTAAAAAGAAAACGTTCAACAAAGTCTCTCATTGGCCGATGAGCTCTGGTTTGTGTAGGTGCAGAGGGATGTGTTTTTTACTGCTTAAAAGGGCCGAGATGAGTTGCTGTGAGGCAGCTGGAAAACATTCCTTTGATACCAACACTTCTTTTTGGAAACGAAGAGTCTGGCAGCCTCCCGTGGTGCAAGCTTCTCTTCTAAGTTACAGGAATTGTATAATTTCCTTGTACCAAGAGTTCTTTCAGGGGCGGGGGGTCTGCTGGAACCTGTAACTCTGACGTAACTTATTAAAATGCTGCTTTTACCCTGGTTTTGGTGCCGAGTTACCTGTAAGAGCAGGGGCGGTGCCCCCACAGAACACTTTGCGCTTTGCCCACCTTCACAGTTCTCAATCCCTTTGCCAGGTGACGTGTGTCTTGATGTTTTAAGATCCTAACACGCCTCTTAAACCCAAATATTGTTCTTAAACCCAAATATTGTCCCTCTGCTGTCACTGGTCAGGACCTGGGTGCTCAGCATCTGCCCGGTCTCCCCCGTCAGCCTCCTCCCTCACCGCCCGGTGCTGTTCCCAGCGTTATGAGGCCATTTCCCAGCGCGGGAGTGGGGAAAAGAGGGACTATTTACTCTCACTTCTCGCCGAGTTGAGGTGTTCTTCCGCTGCGGAGCCGCAGCCCTGCGCGTATCCCTCCCCTCAGCAGCTGGATCTCGTTTCGTCACATCCTACCGGAAGTGCCCTCCCGGAAGCGGAAGTCGGTGTGACTGCGGCCGGGCGAGACGGCGGGCCGGGCGGGAGGTGGCGGCGGCGGGGCGATGTCGGCCAGCGCCGTCTACGTGCTGGACCTGAAGGGGAAGGTGAGACAAGGGCCGCGGCGGGCTCCGCGGGGCCGAAGCGTGAGGGGCCTGCCCGGCCGCGGGGGTCGGAGACGCTCCGGGGTGTGAGGGGCCCGGGATGGCGGGGCCCGTCCGGGGTCTGCTGGAGCCGCTTTCCCCTTCCCGGCCCCTCGCTGCCGGCCCCGGTGTCCCCGGGTCCCAGCTGTGACAGGGGAGCCGTGGCCTGTGTCTCCTCCCCGCGGTTACCGGCGGCGGGGCGAGGCGGCGGGCCGGGCGGGAGGCGGCGGCGGCGGCGGCGGGGCGATGTCGGCCAGCGCCGTCTACGTGCTGGACCTGAAGGGGAAGGTGAGACAAGGGCCGCGGCGGGCTCCGCGGGGCCGAAGCGTGAGGGGCCTGCCCGGCCGCGGGGGTCGGAGACGCTCCGGGGTGTGAGGGGCCCGGGATGGCGGGGCCCGTCCGGGGTCTGCTGGAGCCGCTTTCCCCTTCCCGGCCCCTCGCTGCCGGCCCCGGTGTCCCCGGGTCCCAGCTGTGACAGGGGAGCCGTGGCCTGTGTCTCCTCCCCGCGGTTAGAGATGCTGCTGGTGGCAGGTGTGCCAGCAGGGCCCTTGGGCATCGCCCGGGGTAATTAATCTCTGCCGTAATTGGAGGCAGTCTGTCTCGGGGGAGTTGGATGTTTTCCCACCTTAAAAGCGTTATGAGGCCGTGTGCAGCAATGGGCGGAGAATAACTCCGGGAAATATGAATATATGACTTTGCAATGAAAGACTGGGATTTGCATTTTAATCAGCGAAGTGTTTTGGGGTTGTGACGGTGTGCACAGCGGCTGCAGCGAGGCTTGGTGGCTTTGTTAGGGTTACTTAAAGAGGTCTTCCACGTGCCTTCTGTGTTGGTCTTTCATGGTAACATCATCTCGTGAAAGAGAAAAAAAAAACCTAAGGATTTTGTTCCTCTCTTTCTAGGTTCTGATCTGTCGGAATTACCGTGGAGATGTGGACATGTCCGAGGTGGAGCATTTTATGCCAATCCTCATGGAAAAGGAAGAAGAGGGGACACTTTCTCCTATTCTAGCACACGGGGGAGTTCGTTTTATGTGGATTAAGCACAACAACTTGTATCGTATCCTTTAGGCTGCAGATACCTCGCGTGTGCCCCTGGGCCAGGTGCTGCTGTGTTATTTTGGCTGTTGGTGTCTAAATACAGAGCTAGAGAATGGGTGAAGTGACACAAGGAGCCTCTATTAAATAAAGTGGTTTTATGCTTTACATCATGTCAAGGTGCACCAGCAGCACAGGGTTCAGAAAAGTCTTTGTCTTAATTTTACCCTAATAAATGATTTCCTGATTGTTTATATCTTATTAGGCCAGAAGTACTGTTAATTAATTAACTCTTAATTTTTTTTTTGGCTGACACTAGCCTAAAAGCTTTTAAAAAGGCACTGAGTAACCTTTTTTTTAAAAAAATTCTGACTATAAATGTATGTTCCTGAACATCCTTTATCAGTTGTTGCAACTTCGAAGAAAAATGCTTGTGTATCACTGGTGTTTTCATTTTTATATAAAGTAGTTCAGGTGAGTATGACTTTCCAAGAGTAACCTGTGTCTTCTTTTCAGTTCAGTCTAAATCTGATCTAAATAGAAGCGCGTGGAGCTTTCGCGTTCTTTAAACAGCTCAGTGGTGATAGCGTTATTTTTTTTACTTTATATTTGATTATTTTATAGAACTGTCTTCCTAATGGCTAATAATGGAATTGATATTTTGTAGCTGAGTAGGCAAAGGCTGTGGCACGAGGCTGTAAGTAGCTGCACAAGAGCTGAGAGCACAGAGGAGATTTGTGAACTTGGTGCATGAGTCGTGGCGTGTCGCGTAGATTCCGTGTTTGGTTCGTCTGTTCCTGGCATGAAAAATATTTTCTCCAGAATAAATATTTTTCATAATAGCTTAGAGTTGCTTCTAGGACTCTGTAGCTCTCTTTTAATTGAGGTGGGTTTCCTGAGGCTCATGCTGTTTGTGAATTTTAAGGGGTTTGGTTTGGTGCTTTTTAAAAATTATTATTTTAGATGCAAGAATACATTCTGAATGTGCTGCGGTTCCCCGGTTAACATCCTGCTTCTTCCCCTCCCTCCTGTCATTTTGTTTCAGGTTTTTTCTGAATATTTCAAGGAGTTGGAAGAAGAGAGCATTAGGGATAATTTTGTTATTATTTATGAGTTGTTAGATGAGCTTATGGATTTTGGCTATCCACAAACCACTGATAGTAAAATATTACAAGAGTAAGTATCATTCTGCATCACTCGGTGCCAAACCCTTTGCAAAGTTTTGAGCATTTTGCTATATAGAAACAAATACTTTGGCTTGTTCTAGTTATCAAAAAAAAGATGCTTGATGAAGTGTAGCTTTGTGGTATCAAACTTCTATTTATTGCTGATGTCAATCTGACATCGAAGGTGCTGCAAAAGTGTAATTTTCATTTCTTTCATGTCATTTATGTGCTGTAAAGGTACATCACTCAGGAAGGTCACAAACTTGAAACTGGAGCTCCACGTCCGCCTGCCACTGTTACAAACGCTGTTTCATGGAGATCAGAAGGGATAAAATACAGGAAGAATGAAGTTTTCCTGGATGTTATAGAGTCTGTTAACCTCTTGGTGGGTACCTTTTAACGAGAATTGTAATAAGAAGTGTTCAAAAAGGGATTATTGTCTCAAAGCCTGCAAGGGTACAAGAAAAACTGACTGTGGCTGGTGTTCTGTGATGCTCCAGACAATGTCGGTCGTTAAGACCGAGTACCCATAAGGACATTGAGTAGGTAAATAATGCTTTACTTGGCTGCTTTGCTCATTTCTGATATGTTCTTTACCAAAAGGGTAAAAAACATTGGAACAGGCTGCCCAGGGAAGTGCTTGAGTCACCATCCCTGGAGGGACTTAAAAGATGGGTAGATGTGGCCCCTGGGGACATGGTTTAGTGGTGGCCTTGGCAGTGCTGGGTTAACGGTTGGATCATCATGATCTTAAAGGTCTTTGACATCATCTCGTGAAAGAGAAAAAAAAAACCTAAGGATTTTGTTCCTCTCTTTCTAGGTTCTGATCTGTCGGAATTACCGTGGAGATGTGGACATGTCCGAGGTGGAGCATTTTATGCCAATCCTCATGGAAAAGGAAGAAGAGGGGACACTTTCTCCTATTCTAGCACACGGGGGAGTTCGTTTTATGTGGATTAAGCACAACAACTTGTATCGTATCCTTTAGGCTGCAGATACCTCGCGTGTGCCCCTGGGCCAGGTGCTGCTGTGTTATTTTGGCTGTTGGTGTCTAAATACAGAGCTAGAGAATGGGTGAAGTGACACAAGGAGCCTCTATTAAATAAAGTGGTTTTATGCTTTACGTCGTGTCAACGTGCACCAGCAGCACAGGGTGCAGAAAAGTCTTTGTGTTAATCTTACCCTAATAAATGATTTCCTGAATGTTTATATCTTATTAGGCCAGAAGTACTGTTAATTAATTAACTCTTAATTTTTTTGGCTCATACTAGTTGCCCAAAACCTTTTAAAAAGACACTGAGTAAACTTTTTTTTTTAAATTCTGACTTTAAATGTATGTTCCTGAACATCCTTTATCAGTTGTTGCAACTTCGAAGAAAAATGCTTGTGTATCACTGGTGTTTTCATTTTTATATAAAGTAGTTCAGGTGAGTATGACTTTTCAAGAGTAACCTGTGTCTTCTTTTCAGTTCAGTCTAAATCTGATCTAAATAGAAGCGCGTGGAGCTTTCGCGTTCTTTAAACAGCTCAGTGGTGATAGCGTTATTTTTTTTACTTTATATTTGATTATTTTATAGAACTGTCTTCCTAATGGCTAATAATGGAATTGATATTTTGTAGCTGAGTAGGCAAAGGCTGTGGCACGAGGCTGTAAGTAGCTGCACAAGAGCTGAGAGCACAGAGGAGATTTGTGAACTTGGTGCATGAGTCGTGGCGTGTCGCGTAGATTCCGTGTTTGGTTCGTCTGTTCCTGGCATGAAAAATATTTTCTCCAGAATAAATATTTTTCATAATAGCTTAGAGTTGCTTCTAGGACTCTGTAGCTCTCTTTTAATTGAGGTGGGTTTCCTGAGGCTCATGCTGTTTGTGAATTTTAAGGGGTTTGGTTTGGTGCTTTTTAAAAATTATTATTTTAGATGCAAGAATACATTCTGAATGTGCTGCGGTTCCCCGGTTAACATCCTGCTTCTTCCCCTCCCTCCTGTCATTTTGTTTCAGGTTTTTTCTGAATATTTCAAGGAGTTGGAAGAAGAGAGCATTAGGGATAATTTTGTTATTATTTATGAGTTGTTAGATGAGCTTATGGATTTTGGCTATCCACAAACCACTGATAGTAAAATATTACAAGAGTAAGTATCATTCTGCATCACTCGGTGCCAAACCCTTTGCAAAGTTTTGAGCATTTTGCTATATAGAAACAAATACTTTGGCTTGTTCTAGTTATCAAAAAAATTAATGCTTGATGAAGTGTAGCTTTGTGGTATCGAACTTCTATTTATTGCTGATGTCAATCTGACATCGAAGGTGCTGCAAAAGTGTAATTTTCATTTCTTTCATGTCATTTATGTGCTGTAAAGGTACATCACTCAGGAAGGTCACAAACTTGAAACTGGAGCTCCACGTCCGCCTGCCACTGTTACAAACGCTGTTTCATGGAGATCAGAAGGGATAAAATACAGGAAGAATGAAGTTTTCCTGGATGTTATAGAGTCTGTTAACCTCTTGGTGGGTACCTTTTAACGAGAATTGTAATAAGAAGTGTTCAAAAAGGGATTATTGTCTCAAAGCCTGCAAGGGTACAAGAAAAACTGACTGTGGCTGGTGTTCTGTGATGCTCCAGACAATGTCGGTCGTTAAGACCGAGTACCCATAAGGACATTGAGTAGGTAAATAATGCTTTACTTGGCTGCTTTGCTCATTTCTGATATGTTCTTTACCAAAAGGGTAAAAAACATTGGAACAGGCTGCCCAGGGAAGTGCTTGAGTCACCATCCCTGGAGGGACTTAAAAGATGGGTAGATGTGGCCCCTGGGGACATGGTTTAGTGGTGGCCTTGGCAGTGCTGGGTTAACGGTTGGATCATCATGATCTTAAAGGTCTTTTCCAACCAAAACAATTCTGTGATTGCTTTCCTCCTCTGTGCCCATCACCTCCCTGACCTAATTCTGCTCTACTGGATTAATTTCTTAGGAGAAAGACATCCAAGAAAATCTGGGACGTGGGGATGGGGTGGGAGCGTTGTTTGATGTCATGACATATCACATCAGAGCAATCTTACCTTTCTGTTGTGCTCAGGTCAGTGCCAATGGAAACGTGTTACGGAGTGAGATCGTTGGGTCCATTAAAATGCGAGTCTTTCTCTCGGGAATGCCTGAGCTGCGCCTTGGTTTGAACGACAAAGTTCTCTTTGATAACACAGGCCGTGAGTGTTTCGCTGGTATCTCGGTAATCGTGACAGATGTTATCTGAAATCTTACGGTTTGGGATGGCTGAGGTTCAGCTGAAAGGATTTTTTTCTAAGATGAGAGAAATACTCCCTTTATCACGGTAGAAAACCACATTAGGTCTTGTGTGACGGTACCCAGTGAAGATGGAATGCCATGGGAACCATCTAGGCTTCATCTCCTTTTCACTGGGACTTCCTGGACAGGTTGGAGAGTTGGGCAGAGAGGAACCTGATGAAATTCAACAAGGGCAAGTGTAGGGTGCTGCACCTGGGGAGGAATAACCCCCTGCACCAGGACAGGGGTGGGGGCTGACATGCTGGAGAACAACTCTGAGGAGAAAGACCTGGGAGTCGTGGCAGACAATAGGATGTCTGCAAGCCAGCAATGGGCCCTTGTGGCCAAGAAGGCCAATGGCATCCTGGGGGGCATCAGGAAGAGTGTGAGCAGCAGGTTGAGGGAGGTCATCCTGCTCTGCACTGGGGAGGCCCCATCTGGAGCACTGGGTCCAGTTCTGGGCTCCCCAGTTCCAGAAGGACAGGGAACTGCTGGAGAGGGGACAGCAGAGGGCTACAGAGATGATGAGGGAACTAGAACATCTCTCTTGGGAGGAAAGGCTGAGGGACTTGGGGCTTTTTAGTCTGGCGAAGAGCAGACTGAGGGGGGATCTGATCAACACCTATAAATATTCAAAGGGTGGGTGTCAGGAGGATGGGGCCAGGCTTTTTCCAGTGGTGCCCAGGGACAGGACAAGAGGGAACGGGCGCAAACTTGAACGTGGAAAGTTCCCCCTAATCATGAGGAGGAACTTCTTTCCTGTGAGGGTGGCAGAGCCCTGGCAGAGGCTGCCCAGAGAGGTCATGGAGTATCTGTCTCTGGAGATATTCAAAGCCCCCTGGACACATTCCTGTGGGACCTGCTTGTCTGGAGATATTCAAAGCCCCCTGGACACATTCCTGTGGGACCTGCTCTGGGTGGCCCTGCTTTGGCAGGGGGGTGGGGGAGATGATCTCCAGAGGTCCCTTCCAACCCCATAGCATTCTGTGATTCTCCAGTCCTCCAGACCTGTACAAGCTAGAAAAGGGATTGGCTAAAGGGAGGAATGGGAGCAGAAAACTGCTTTGCTGTGTAACTGGCCGGGATGAGACTTCAGACATAAACTGCTTAGCGCCTTGAAACGTGTGTTTTCTGCTAGGTGGCAAAAGTAAATCAGTAGAACTGGAAGATGTAAAGTTTCACCAGTGTGTTCGTCTCTCTCGCTTTGAAAACGACAGGACAATTTCTTTCATTCCACCTGATGGAGAGTTTGAACTCATGTCCTATCGTCTCAACACCCACGTAAGTCTGGATGTATGGATCTCCACTGCAGGACTTTATTCTAGGAGAATGTTCTAGACTGTAGGCAGAATTGCTAAGAGTTTTCTCTTGGTTTTATTTACTTTTCATGAAGTATGAGCAGCATTGTAGTTTTCAGTTCAGCCGTTAATAGCAAAGCTTTGTGCTCACTCTTCTTGGAGGAAGTAAGAATGGGTTTAGCAATAACTTGGCCATAAGTCTCTGTCTTTTCAACTGCTATTGAAACTGGGTCTGAAATACTGTTTCTCTGATGTGGGTGGGTTTTTTTTTAAGCTGACTAGATGATGAAATGTTAAGCACAATGAATTGCTACGCTGAAACGAGCAGTATTTTGTCATTTAATGACATTAGAGTTTGCTAGCCACAGTGAGAAGGATGAGTTTTCCTTTCAGGAAAGGAAAATATGCAATATAGAGAATGTCTATAATACACAGCCATGATAGGAGACAACAGATGAAAATTTTACCATTAATTTATTTATTTAAGAGCGGTGGTTTGATTTAGAGTCATTTTTAGGGCTTGTCATAGTTCGGTGAGAAGGATGAGCTTTCCTTTCAGGAAAGGAAAAAATGCAACATAGAGAATGTCTATAATATGCAGCCATGACAGGAGACAACAGATGAACATTTTAGCAAAAATTTTAGCATTAATTTATTTTCTTTTTTAAGAGCGGTGGTTTGAATTAGAGTCATTTTTAGGGCTTGTCATAGTTCAGTCCCTTGTGTGTTAAATTATTAAGTATTTTGGATTGCAAGTGTTATTAGTCTGAGACGTACCATTTTAAGCCTATAATCCTTGTGACACTTAGTCACTGGTACATCAATGCTCATTTGTATATTTATTTTTTAACAGAAATTCACAACTTGTTTGTAATTTCGAACACCACAGGCTGTTTTCTGTGGGGCTCACGTGTTGAGTGTAGTTTTATGGGGAAGCAGCACTTTAATGACTGTGTCAAAGTAAAACCTGCAGCTGTGAAGTGTTTTTTTTTTCCCTTCAGGTGAAACCACTCATCTGGATTGAGTCTGTGATTGAAAAACATTCCCACAGCCGCATCGAGTACATGATCAAGGTCAGAAGTTCTAAAACAATTATGGCTAATTTTAGTTTTTCATTTCTTTTCGAAGCTTGACCAGCAGCATGTGTATTTTTCCATGAGTATTTAGTATTTCTGTGGGACTTGAGTCCTTTTGAGAACTTCATTTATGGGCAATGATCTCTGTATTAGTTCTGTTTCTCGGTGTGTCGATAGGGCTGGAGGGGAGCTGTGTGTCTCACAGCTCTCTGAACTCACCAGCCTTATGGAAATACTCAGAGGCCTCTTTTTCTGATTTCTCTTCTTTAGGCAAAAAGTCAATTTAAACGTAGATCAACTGCCAACAATGTGGAGATTCACATTCCAGTTCCAAACGACGCCGACTCGCCAAAGTTTAAAACCACTGTTGGAAGTGTCAAATGGGTTCCAGAGAACAGTGAAATTGTCTGGTCCATTAAATCTTTTCCAGTAAGTGCTATTTTTAGTCTTATCGCCTAATAGTGTAATAATTACTTAATGTTAATATTTTATGAACATTCAGACTCTGCCTTAAGGAGATTCTAATAGTATCAGGCAAGAAGTGCTGGCCTCTTCCTCTGTTCCTTTGGATGAGGGCTTGGAATTAGCTAATAGATGTTTAAGATGCTGTTTGTAATTTTTGTTTTACTGGGATAATTTTTCAGAACTGGGTTAGGGAGCGGATTTTTGAGCGCTGTCTGGGGATGTTGTAATCCCTTGGCCTGGATTTAGCAGCAGCTGGTTTAGTTTGTCAGACTCTGCTTCTTGGGTGGTTCCACGAGCATGAGCTCTTCCAAATGCGCGTGGTGTGGCGGTACAGCTGGCTGTCACCATGCCGTCAGTGGCACCAAAAAAATGAACTTTTTTTGTTGCTTTTCCTCTCGTCTTTGAGTACGAAGCTGGTCCTAATTTGATCTGCGTCTTAAAAAAAAAAAGTGTTTGTTTTTAACATAAAAACAAGTGTTCTCTTTGAAAGCCCTAGAGAAGCTGAAATGAATAGTGGAGTTTAGCAATTTGACATTTGTATCGTTGCAAGCTTTTTATTTTTTTGTTTCAAGAAGGAAAAAAATAAAATTAAAAACATCTGTCCTTTTTGGGGTAGGGTGGAAAAGAATACCTGATGAGAGCTCACTTCGGACTTCCCAGTGTTGAAGCTGAAGATAAAGAAGGAAAACCTCCCATTAGTGTAAAGTTTGAGATTCCATATTTCACCACTTCAGGAATCCAGGTTAGTGGTTGGGAATAGAAATGCTGGTAAATTAACGTGCTGGGCTCTGAACACCTGAGTTTTTCTCATCTTCTTGATGATTCCTGTTCAACATTATCCATAAAACATATTTTTGACCAAAAGAAGGTTTTTTTTTCTTTTGTGCTAAGTGCTGCTTGGCTGACGTGGGAGACTTCATTTCTTAACATCCCTTTCTTTCCAGGTTCGTTACTTAAAGATAATTGAGAAGAGTGGTTACCAGGCTCTGCCGTGGGTCCGTTACATCACCCAGAACGGAGGTAAATGCAAAGCAAGAGACTGTAGATGGCTCCCAACTTGCACATTTTGTTTCTCCAGCCTCTACCTACAAACTGAAACACACAAAATCAGTTTGCTCATGTTCTTTAGTGTTAAACTATACGGTCTAGATACACGTTAGATTAAGGCGTGCTGCTTTTTCCAGGCACTTTTTTGGTGTCTTAATGAAAGACCCAGTGGGGTAGCTGAGTAATGCTGTTGAAGTATTTTGTAGTTAAGTTGGGATTCAGTGAGATTTTTGGCATGTAAATTTAAAAAGAAATTGCTCAGGCATACCAGCTGAGTAATGCTGTCGAAGTATTTTTTGTAGTGAAGTTGGGATTCGGTGAGATTTTTGGCACGTAAATTTAAAAAGAAATTGCTCAGGCATACTGTTCTGCCAGCTTTGAGATGTATAAGACTAAATATTAAGACTAGATGTATAAGACTAAATACTAAATCTACTGTATCTACTAAAAGATACGAGACTAAATATCTACTAAATCTACTGTATCTACTAAAAGATACCAGATCATTTGCAAGTAAAAGCAGTGGGATTTTTTGGGTTTTGCTTTTAGTTTGCTTTGCTAATTAACTTTTTTCCTGGCTTGGAAGCATCACTGCCTGCAATTACTTCGGAAGCTTTAGAGCCTGTTTTTGTGGCCATTCTACACAAAGATCTGGTTTTATTTTATATTTCTTCATCCCAATGTGCTGATCTGCTTCGCTATCTTTAGTGAGACAACTTATTAAAACTGGTTTGGGTTTTTTTTTCTCCCTTTACAGACTACCAGCTTCGAACACAGTAAAGCACCTCGCAAGCACCACAGACGACAAAACTTCAGCCCTAGAAATTTGTTTGCAGAAGCTTCTGTGGTACTGAGAGCCGTGAATGTTGTTGCCAAGGGTCTTGTTTCTGCAATCTTGGATTGGCAGGCGAAAGATTGGAAATTTCCTGTTTTCAATAATGTGTTTTGAGCATCTTGAACCATTAGTATTGATTGTGTGAATATTTATTTCATTTCTTAGAACATGCTGATCTTGCTGCTAAATGCTAATTACATTAGGAGTAGCAGTCACCTTGAGGAGCCAGGGATACAGAACGAGCCTTGAGAATGTCTTGTCAATGCCTTGTCCGTTACATTCGCAACGTTTCTAGGATTTTAGGATCTCTGAAGACATTGGCAGCATTATGCTACAAATTAGGGAGACGATTGTGCAATTAAATGACTGCTGAACACTTGGTTGTATTTAGCCCAAGGTATTTTTTTTTTTTTTTTTGCTGGGCATATGGGTGCCTTAACTCATTCAAAGCTCTGTTAACTTATAAAAATTTACAGAATATGAGTTGAAACTATCCAAAGTCAAAAAGTACCATTTGTTCTTTTTTGCGTGGCTTCAAACCAATTGATCTGATGGCACAACTTCCATTGAAGGGTTTGGAAACAAAAATATAGGTGTGTTAAAGACTAAGTTAACTGAGACCAGGAGATGGCAGAAGCAAATGTCTCTGGGAAGGTCTCTGTGGAAGCAGGATGTTGGTGAGTTCAGGTTAGTGGAAACCCAGACTGAAGAGTTTCAACCCTCTGACACCCCCTAGGGTGTGGAAACCCTATGCCAATTGACTAGTATTTCCATGTTTTAAATTCTGTTCATAAAGCAAGTTCAGAACTGTAATATGTAGTAGTCGTAAGACCTTAGATTAATTATTAAAAAAAAAAAAGACCAAACAATTTTGGAGGTGATGAAATTTGGTAGGAAGATTCAGGGGGGGGTTATTTTTCCAGATAATAGTAATATACTCCAACCTCTTCCTGACATTGATTGTTGTTTATGAAAAGGCTGATAAAAATACCGTTGCCATCTTTCTTCCAGCTTGCCTTTGTGTTAACTTACGGCAAATATTTCCCTTTTTTGCTATAGTTTGCTAGAATTGTTTAACTCTCTTTGCCCTAAGGGGGATGCTTTCTTTCTCAGTCTTTTCCGTTCGTAAGCAACTATTATTAGAACTTCCTGGCAGAATGGATTACAGTTCAGAACGTTATACTTAAAGGTATTATTTTTTTTTTTTACATGCTGTTTTCATTTTTTTTCTGAGAAGCTAAGATTGGCATGGGTGTACATAGTTATTTTGATTTTTTTCAGGAAAATTTTGACGGTTATCAGTATTTTCTTTTGACAATTTTTTTTTTTTTTTAAGAATGTCTTGGGTTGAATTTAGTACTTCTGATGTGCTAAATTTAAACCACTGAAATCTAAATCTATGTCCACAAACGTGATGTCATACACTGTGCGCAAGGTTCTCCGCACCACTCTGACAGTCCTTGACTCTCCCTCGAGACTGAGAAGTCCTCGTCCCCACAAAATCCATGTAGACTATATATAGAGAGAGAACTGTGTATGCAGTATATACTATTAGCAAAAAAAAAATGAACTAAATTCCCCTGAGATGCAGCTGCTGTAACATTTTGGGAAGGACTGGTCTCTGAAGGCATCCAGGCATTCTGGTTGGGCCAGGGGTAGGTGTGCACAGGGATATTTTGGAGGAAGGTTACTGTAGTGTCACCCAATGAGCTCGATGTTGAAACAAATGAAATCATCTTGTTCAAGATTTTGGTTCCACTGCTCATTTTCATTTGAACAATTAAGCTTATGACTGGACTAAACATTTTTATATTAAAACTGTAACTGGTTGACAAATCACTTTCCGATGACTCTATTCTTCAAACTGTTCGCTTCAATTATTTGCCTGTGAAATGTGACTTTTAATGGCTTCATTTCTTTTTCTGTTGAAAATTGTATCTTGTGGACCAGAACAGTGTTTGTTTTTTTTTTTCTCACATTTTGTTGCAATTTGACTTGATTTTGATGATGGGGCATCAGCCGTGCTTGTCCGGGAAGTAATAAAGGGCCAAAAGTCCTCTTGGAATCAGTTGTGCCTCCCTCGTGCTCTGTTTGGTTCCACCTACAACAAGTTGTAGCCTCTGATCATAGAGCAGCCTCAGTTGTTTTGGTGGGAGGCCTGGGTAAGTGCAGCTGAACTGATTTTCATCCTAAAAGCTGATAGGATTCATATTCCTCATTTGTTTACCAATTACCGACAAAATCTTTGCTTTTCTAGTGTTGTCTCCAAAAATTTGCCCAAGCACCATAAAATGGGTGCCCGTTTGCCCCCTCTGTCTCAGAAAGCAACAAAAAAAACCCCACCTCTTTGTCCATTCCCTGTGGGGTCCCCCGGGCAGAGGGGCAGGAACGGGGAGGGGGGACATTATTCCAGCCCTACCTCTCCTTCAAGGGGTAACTTTGGTTTTTAAGTTTTATTCTTAGAGCAACCGCTAAATCTTTCTGTTTTCTGCCTAAGGTGGAAAAAATGTAAATGTGGTGGTCTGCCACTGTGGGGCAGGTAAGTGATGAAGATAAAATACTTTAAAAAGACAATTTGCATAAGTAAAGTATCATCTCATCTGTGTTTTCAGCTCAGTGTGGTTTCCTACCTATTTTCGTGTTACCTGGGATTTGGAACGTAAAAGGCTGAATTTCAGTTTCTCTGAAAACACATCTCTGTTCTAGCCCTGAGCCCGCAGAGATTAGATTAAATCTTCTCCACAGTTGTGTTTTTGCACAAATGATAGAATCATAGAATGGTTTGGGTTGGAAGAGACCTCAAAGATCATCGAGTTCCAACCCCCCTGCCCTGGGCAGGGACACCTCCCACCAGCCCAGGTTGCTCAAGGCCCCTTCCAGCCTGGCCTTGAACACCTCTAGGGATGGGGCATCCACAACTTCCCCTGGCAACCTCTTCCAGTGCCTCTCCACCCTTATAGTAAAAAATTTCTTCCTGAGATCTAACCTGAATCTTTTTTTGTCCAATTTAAAACCATTAAAGCTGGGAATCAGGTTATTTTTCCTCAGCAACCTGAAGTGTCTCAAGCTGGGAATCCAGTTATTTTTCCTCAGCAACCTGAAGTGTCTCTCCTGCTCCATCCTTAAAACCGAGGGCTGGCTCGCAATATTTCAGCAGCAGGAAGTGTTCCCTCCTCTCCCTCCTGAACACGCAAATCCAACCTCATTTACGCATTATTTAATTGCTAACCGATTAGATAGCTGTCCCTGGAGATGCGCCAGCGGCGCTCCCCCGTTGGAGTGAACAGGTAGTTTGACTTCCTCCAGCGCTGTGTGTGTCTGTGTGTGTGTCTCACACCTGGGCTTTCCTGGAATGAAAGATTACAGCAAATTAAGGCTTTTTTTTCCCCTCCCTTCCACGGCCAGTTCTCCCAGTAGATGGCGATCTGGGTGCACCGCGCGCTGCCCGTTAATTAGCAACTCGCACAACTCAAACGCTATCTACAAAATGTGTCTTTGGAGTTGGAAGGTATTATTTTAGTTCTTCTGACCTCAGTAAAAAAAAAAAAAAAAAAAAAAAAAACCCAAAAAACCAACAAACTATATATATATATATTTTTAGACTGGTGCCGTATGATTTTTGGACCTCAGTAACTTCTTGATGGAATTGGATAAGCCCCTCTCCAGTGCCAGGGGTGCAGCTGGGAGTTGGACACGGTGGTGGTGGACACTGCTGGGTCATTAATTAAGATTCACCTCATCAGCTGAAAGCTCCTGTTTGATACAACATAGGAGAGAGAGTATCTTTTGATCCCCACTTGATCACCTCTAGAGAAAACCAGTTTGATCTCATAAAAGAAGCCAGAACCCACCTCCCAATCAAGTAGAACAGGTGGGTTAGAAAAGCTCCATCCCACCTCTCTCTTCCAGCTGGGGAGGTTCTTCCCTTGTTTCTCTTTTCTGTGTTTCTGCTTTTCCTCATTGCCATCCCTGTGTGCTGTTTGGGCTGCTTAAATTTGCTTCCCAACCCTCATCTGAGCTGACTTTTACATCTGGATTACTTACACAGAGAGAGAGACAATACGACTTTATCCCTAGTGGGTTTGGTTTGGGTTAAGAGCTTACACCTGTTTGTTTCTGACTTTGTATTTTGTGACCAGAAATGGGCTAAACCTTGGCACCTCTCTCTTTATCTTGTGCCAAAGGCAGTGTGTTGCAATTTGTTCAGCGCTTCTTTTTTTTTTTTATTAATTTTTTTCCTCCCCCCCCCCGCTCCCTGTGGTTGACACCCACTTGCTGTTTGCAATTCAGCAGCCCTGGCACCGCCACGGCTGGTGGCCTTGCAGAAAATAGCGTGAGAGAGCAAAGTTAAGGGCCAATATGCATAATCTTAATTGCTATGGTAATTAATTATACAACAATATCATTTATGCCGGAGGAGAAGTTGTTCTGAAATCGCGAACGATCGTAAACACTTTTTTTTCCGCTGAATTTTGTGCAATCTGGAGTGTCATACGAGTCATGCCCTCCTTGTGCACAGATAAAACTTGTTTCTCTTGTAGTTACGGCACGTTGCCTTGACTCAGCGTTTAGGAAAGCGCAGTTACTCACGGCGCTGGCTCCGCTCAGAGGCAGGAGCTTCCCTTTTGTAGTTATTTCACTTTGTTATTAGCGCAATAGTTAAAAGACTTCATGTCCTTCTCTATTTCCTGGTCAACTGGGCTGGAGCTTTGATCCCTTTGGCTCGGGCAGCGCAGGGTCCGTGCCCCGACCGTGGCCAGCTCTGACCATGGGCTCTTCCCGATGTGACCATCGCTCGGGGCAGCAGCAGGTCCCGCTCTCTTCCTTGAGCACCAGCTCCTAAACTGAAAAACTTTAGCTACAACTCCCTATCTTTAAAAACACAAAACTCAGTTCTGTGTTTGTTCTCCTGAAAACGAAGGATTCTTGTTTTATTAGGGCGCGTTCTGGGCTAAGTTCCCAGGAACTCGGTGCAAAGAGCCATCTGACACCGAGAGCGTCGATATCCCCGTGAAATCAATGGAAGGTTAAAGCCGCTTTTCCCACTTCAGCTGTTCTGTTGCTCTGTGGTTGTTGGCAGAGTAGTTCAACCAGAGGATTTGGATAATTTTGTGTTTAATATCAGAACTGATGCCCAGCTTAACCCTATGACCTCTCTCTCCTTCCCCTTCTCCTTCTCCCTTCAAGCTGCCAACGTTTCTTTACGCTCGTTGGCCGCCCTGCTATTTGCAGCTTTGCACCGGAGCAACTTGGTCATGCTGGAGGTGGAATTACTCTGGGTTATCCTAAAAAAAATAATGAAGGACTGAAACCCGGAGCCTCCAAGTTCATTTGCAGGCTGATGGTCAAATAAATAAGCAGAAACAGGCCTGAATCAAACAATCAGCAACGTGAAGAACAAGACGCTCCCAAAGTCAGCGTGCTGGGCTACGGCCCGTCCTGGAGAAAGTTTTGTAGGCTTAGTTCAAATCTTGGCTGTGGATTTGTACCTTGGATCAAAGTTTTGTTGCAGGCCCTTCTCCAATATAAAGCAAAGAAACGTAAAACAACAAATATCTAGTGAAATCCAAACACAATCTGCTCTATGTTATGCTACAAAAATGAATGAACTCTGCCTCCCACCCTCTCCCACTGTGACTTGCTGTGAATAAGCACCGCTCAAAGGAAACGATCGCAAGAAGTTCTGCCTCTTTCCAGCAGGAATAACAATTGAGCAAGAAAAAAAAGCGCTGACTAGTTTTATCTCTGCTCTTCCAGTTGGGCAGGTAGAGGTGAAGAGCAGCGTTGAAAGGACTTGCCCTTAGCACAGAACTAAAGCCCAAGTATTCAATTATGAAGCTTTAAAAATGTTTTTCCATTAAGTTAAGAACTCTTTTCTGATCTGAGACTTTGTTAGATCATCTGAAGCAGCGTGGTTGTTCCACCACGGCTTTTGAAGGCTAGAAGAATATCTAGGGAAATCAGGCAGACCAGGCTAAATCCATACATTTCTTATTTGTGGATCTTTAAGCTGATGGGTTAGAAATCACGATGGACCTGGTGGATCCCAGGGAAGGCTCCACAGAATGACTCCTCACCAGCAGGTGCTGGGTTGCGCTGTTGGGGAACCAGGTGTCGAGCCTGTGCTCCAAATAACTCTGAGGGTTTTTTTCCACTTTAAGCCTTAGTTCAAGAGCTTGTAGAAGCTGCTGGTTCCTCCCCATGTTCTGGTGTGTAAAGGGAACGAGGGATGCAAGGATCCCGCACAGCCCAGGAGCAAGAAGAGGCTCTTCTTGTATCAAGGTTTAGGAGGTCTTACATAAGGGCTTTGTGAGTGGGTTGGTAAATACCAGTCGGGTGCTGGGTAGACCTCAATTGTGCATTAGAAATAGACTGGCAGGAGGTAATATAATACTCAAATCCAGATGTGGGTCTATACTTCTTCCCTAAAGCTCCTGGTGTGCTCCACTCCAGGCTGTGTACCGGTGACTGCTGTGGTCCAGCCAAGGAGATGGGACAAAGCTACACGGACAGGAAGAGTTTGAAGAGACTTCAGTGTAAAAGTTGGAGAAAAAAGCTTGGGGGATGTGAATGAGGTTTGGTTAGAAACGCCAACCTTATAAACAAATAAAGTCTGCTTTTAAATCTTCAAACATAAAAAAAAAAAAAGTCTATAAGTTGAAAAGGAGTATGTTTAAAATTGAGAAAAGAAAGTGTTGCTGTGTAGAATTCCACGTTTTCACGGTATTTGTTTAGAAAAGGACTTATCAGCCAAGCAGTGCCCCATGTGAGGTAGGAACCCTTTGCTAGTACCGCTGAGCTCTCATCTACGTCCCAGCCACCTCCGACGACTCCCTGGCCAATAGCGAGCCCATGGCCGCAGAAGGAGTGTTTATTTTCTTGCTGGCTTATTTATTAAAACAAAAGCACAAGACAGAGTGCTTCTACGTGTTGTGAACTCTACAATTGTTAAAGTTTCCAAGAGGTCACGAGGGTCCCAGATAACATTAGCAGCTAAGTGCTATGTTGTCCTTTTGCGTTATCAACAGGAAACATCTTTACCAGCACAGGAACTACAGCTTTGTAATT